CTCTCTCTGACAAAGGCTGGAGGGAAGTGTGCCTGCTTGGCTTTGTGAGAATGGGAAGAGGCCCTGGCAGGGGTCTGAGGGCCCATCGGCAACCAGGCCCTCCCACCGGGACTGCATCTTGTGTCCAACATCCTTCCACATCAACTGCTTGTGATGACCTTCCCAGCTGACCCAGGGAGGTTCTTTTCATCCTCATCTGACAGAGAAACCAAAGCTTAGAGAAAAAAAGGGCAGGATCAAGGTCACAAAGCCGGGGAGTGAAAGAAGTGGAACTCAGGAGCCCAATCCCCTAAGAATTCGTGCCGGCTTCACCCACAGATTCCGGGTCTAACGCCCCCCCCCCCAGTGCTGGCAGGGCCCAGCAGGGTCTGGGAACAGGGGCCAGCCTCCGACCCCAGCTCTGTCACCCCCAGCACATCACCCGCACTCTCAGGGCTCACACCTGCCCACCCTTACTTCTGCCAACAGATGCCACCTTTAGGAAGTGCCTGCCGAAGTCCCAGTCCCTGCCCCTACACATGCAGAATCCCATTTGAGCTCCATAACGACATCAAAGTCTTGGAGAGGTAGAGTGACTTGAGCAGGGTTACATTGTTTATAGGTGACAAAGCTGGAATTCATACTGAAGACCACCTGATTCAAACCCCCTGCTCTGGGGCGCCTGGGTGGCTCAGCTGGTTAAGCGTCTGCCTTCAGCTAAAGTCATGATCCCGGGGTCCTGGGATCGAGCCCCGCATCGGGCTCCCTGCTCAGCGGGGAGTCTGCTTCCCCCTCTCCCCCTGCTCGTGTTCTCTGTTTCACTCTCTCAAGTAAATAAATAAGATCTTTAAAAAAAAAAACAACAAAAAACAAACCCTCTGCTCTCTTACTATGCTATTATATAGAGAGAGAGCAGAGACTAGCTCTCTAGAAGCAAGCACTAGCTACCATCACCACCAAATCAATTCAGGCCCTTGGGGCAGGATGAGTCTTACAGAGAAAAAAAAAAACGGTGCCAAGCAACAACTGGTTTAAGTTCCTAAAAATGCCACTCAAAACCGAGAAAACAGGGATGACTAAAAACACCTTGGGACTGGTCCAGTCAGGGAGATTTTCTTTAGCTGGCAAAACACAGAGGCACAGACATGCATTTAAAACGAGGCCTTGCCTGTTCGTCAAACAGGCCTGGTCTGGCCGCTGTGGGTCTGTCTGAGGTAGAGCCAAGCAAGAGGCTGAAAGCCACAAGCTCAGAACCCAGCTCTGCCACTTTCTCTCTGGGTGACCTCAGTCAAGTCAAGAGGCCTCTAGGAGTCATGTTAAAAGTAGCAAATAGTTCCAACCTCACAAGACTGCTGTGGAGAAGACAGAAGCTGCTTGTCAGTACAAGGCCTATTGTATAATAGTGGGCCTGTTGTTCAGCAAATGTATGGTCATTCTGCTGGCTCCTTCCTCATAATCTCCAGCGTGGTGCAAGCCGCAAACTGTACCTCGGGGGTCTACGGCCATACCACCCTGAACACGCCCGATCTCGTCTGATCTCGGAAGCTAAGCAGGGTCGGGCCTGGTTAGCACTTGGATGGGAAACTGTACCTCGGGGGAGGCAGGTAAGTGGTCTCCTCACCGGTGCCCACACATCTCAGAGCCTCTACTCCTGCTCTCATCCTACTGGAAATGTCCTTCCTCCCTGGCCCTGCTCCCATCAGCTCTCCAAATTAGTTCCATCTTTCAAGGCCACCTTCTCTTAGAAGCCTTCTCTGGTGACGTCAGTCCTTACCGGCGATGCCCTCTTCCTACACAGTCCTAACAGTAACACCTAAAGACTGCTGAGCACTTACATTGTACCAAGGCGCTATGCTAAGCTCATCCCAAGCACCAATTTACTGGTTCTTCACACCATCTTCTTAAATACTATTATTCCCACTATACAAATGAAGACACTGTGCAGAGACCTCGAGATCACCAACACAGCCAGTTAAGTGGCAGGGCTCACATTCCAACCTAGAATCATCACATTCCAAAGCCGGAGCTCTTAACCACCACATCATCCTACTTCCCATGGGCCTCCCTTCAGTCAGATTTAATTCTACTCTGGCTTATTTGCTACCATTTCACACTGAACACGAGGTGATCCAACTCCACCATCTTGCATTAAGGCCTGAAAAGAGACAGGATATGGAGCTCTGGCTTCAGACTCCATCCCTTACTTGCTGGTTGACTCTGAACATAAGAGTCCTCACCTGCCAAATGGGGACAATACCACCCGCCTTTAGGGGTTGTTCTTAGAATTAAAAAGAATTTCATAAACTACAGAGTCTTTAGTTTTTCTGCCTTGAATTTCTATGGACACTTCCTTTTATCATCTTATTCTTCAAGGCCTATCCCCAAAGTTCAGTTCCTCCAAGAAACCTCTGTTCCCCCGACAAGTAGGGTGGTCTCCCTGAGCTTCCTAAGTACTTTTTATAACTCTCTAACGCCACTGAAAACACATCACCTAATACTTTTAAGTATCTTTCTCCAGGTCTGTCTTCTCCCAACAGGCTGGTTGCTCCTCGAGGGAAGTGGCCCTAGTCTGCGTCTCTCTGAGAAAGATTCCAGGATAAGCCAGGCCCCAAGTTCTTAGCTGGGTCTGCCCCAGGTCGGAACCCCTGGGCAGCGGGGCCACCCGGCTCACCTGGCCTTAGCGCACAGGGCCTTGACTTCGCTCTCTTTGATGAGCTCGCAGCGCCGCAGTTGCTCGATCTGCCGGTCCAGGTCGCTGATCTCCGCCATGGCCCACCCCCCCGGCGCGGGTCAGAGCCGGGGCCGTCGCCCCCTCCGCACCGCACAGGGGTCTCCTGAGAAAGGCGAAGACGAGCCCGTGGATCAGAATGTCCGTAGGGGGCGCCGGGGGGAGGCAGGGAGGCAACTCCATCCTGAAGCTGGCCCGGCCCCCCCACCCTCGCCTCCCCTCCCCTCACATCGGCCCCGGGACCCCCAAAGTCCCACGGCCCTGGCCGCTCCCCGCTAACTCCCGTCGAACCCCGCGATCCCGCGCTCGGGACGGTGGCCTAGAGGGGTCTCAGACTATTACCGCCGCCGCGACTCCGGCTCCCGCTCCTAGGCTCCCTGCCTTCCTCCTTCCCTACGCTTTGGGCCGCCGCCACCGCCGCTTCTATTTCCGGCCCCGCCGCGGAAGCAAAGAGGGACCAGTTCCGCCGCGCGCCGGATGTGGCGTCATACACACCCTCCCCTTCCCGCGCCGCGCCCCTAACCCCACCTCTCGAGCTAAGAATGGAAATGAGGGACGGAACCGGATGTCCGCAGCTTGTGGGCAGGGGTGACCGGGGCCTGCGGACCGGTGCTGCTCGGGCCGATGGACACCTCAGTCCGCTCCCCTCGGGTCTCAGTGAGGGAAGCAAGCTAAGCTACGGCTCCGCTTGTAACTTCGTTGCACGCTTTGATTTTATGTGTGCGTCGGCCTCCCCCATTATAGTCCCTGAGGGTCACCCTTGAAGCCCCAGTGCTTTAGAACACGGCCAGGCACAGTAGGCATACCTAAATATGTGTTCAGTGGACGGAGGAATCCTGTCCAAATCTCTTTCCACGGCCCCGGAGAATTCTCTGCCATAGAGGACCTCTGAAGTGAGAGGCAGAAAGGAGGCCACCTTGCTCACACCTAGCTTATATCTCAGTCAACGTGACCTCCCTGATTCCGGAAGAGTCCCCGACATCCCTCAGTTGCTTCCTCTTGTCCGCCAAGTTGTATTCCTTTTTTTAAGGAATCCGTTCTAGTTTCTCCACCTATCACTTACATGTTCTGGAATTCACTGTTAAAAAGGTCCAAAGCCCCAAACTTGACATTTGAGATGATGCACACTTTGTGGTATCTGAGCCTTTGCACAGGCTGCTCCCTTTTGAAGTCATTTTTGCTGTCTTCTGTTGACCTTCCATTTTTATTTGCTTTACTTCGTTTCACAGAGAATTGTGAGGCTAGGCACAGAAGTGAGGCCAAAGTTTAGAGGAGCACGAAGAGTGGATTTGGTTTTTTATGTAGGCAACATGCAAATGTGCATTGAAGGAAAGGACCGAGTCCTTAAAACTCCTAGAAGGTCCTAGTCAGTTCTAGGAGCTTCACCACAGGGATTCCGTTAAGGCCAGAGAGACCACAATAGTTAAGATTATTTTCTCCCTCTAGAGGGAAGCTCAGACAGCAAAGGGCCTTGTATCAGGAAATTCAGGAAATGGCAAGACTCACGAGGTCCCTGGTTATGACCAGGATCTAATTTAACAGCTCAGAAGAGCTGATGCAGTTACTGCTACACCTCAGCCTGGGTGACCGGGGAAGGGTCCAAGATATGGCACAGGGGTTAAGTGCAGGGCCTTCCTTCTGGCCACATGGAATACAGCAGCTACACTGGCTCAGGGCTTAAGCCGTAACCTGAGCCCCACAGTTCTGTGTTTGTTAGTGTGGTTTGTTTGGGGATTGCTTGTTTGTTTGTGGCTTGCTTCGCCCGCCGAAGGTTGATTAAGAAGCCAGTTCTAATCCCATCCCATTAAGATGGGAAAACAGACCAGCTCAACAGTGTAGATGAAGGACATATGTATTAATAATCTTGTCTTCATCAAGAAAGGGCAATCTCAGCCTTAAGCACGAAGCACCTACTTATATAGATCACTTCTGTCACCTGGGTCACAGCACTCGGGAAATGTTGGCTTTTGTCCGCGACTGTTTTTGTCACAGGGGCCTTCTGCACCTCTAAATTCTGGGTCTAAAAGTGCAGCTGAGCCTGACAGTTACACATGTAGTCCCCAACTGTGAGCCTTATCAGGTGCTGCTGGCAAAAGGGGGCGAAGCCCTTGATGGTGGGAAGAAAATTTCACAAGCTCTCTTCTTGAAGCCCTGGGCAAGTGTAAAACAATGTAGGAAGGTCCTCTCCCAACCCATTCCATTTTCTCCTACCTCACAAGGACAAACAGAAAGGACTCTTCTAGGCTCTGCCACCTCCCCTGACCCTCCCTGGCCTGAACACCAGACATGGACAGCAGACTCCCCCTTAAATAGTTGTTTATTGGCAGTGGGCTGGAAAGAGATGGAGTTAGCATATACAGACAACACCACACACCAATGTCACGCGGGAGGCAAAGTGATGGGAAAGAGCAGCCTGGAGCCCCGGTGAGGCCCCCTCTTCAAGAGTGAGTGTGGGAGGGGGCAGGGGCTGGAGTGTTGAGGGGGCAGCCTTAGAACACCTCCGCTTAGTAGGCATGGTTAGAGATGAAGAGGGACTCGCTGGCTGCAGCCCCGGCCTGACCACTTGAGGTGTACTTTCCTTGGCAGGCGAGGCTGTTGGCCTAAGAGGGGAGAGGAGCCAGAGTGAGGTCTCATCAGAATTCCATCCGCCCCGACACCCTGCCCACCTCCATCCAGTCCCATCCTTACCAGGGCTCGCTTGACATACTCCTCCTGGGCAGCCTTCAGGTTCTCCTTCTTTCCACCCCAGGCCTTCAGGGCAGAAGCCTGCAGGGCTCGGCCATAGGAGAAGGTCAGGGCCCACGGCTTCAGCAGGGGGCACTTGTTGATGGCATTGAGGTTGATGGATGCCTCCTCCTCACTCTGGCCTCCAGATAGGAAGGTGATCCCTGTACAACAAGGGGTAAAGTGGGGTAAGTGGCTGTAGGCAAAGACCTGGGGATTGGTAGCAGCCCCTAGAAACTGACCTGAAAATCTGACCAAATGGGCTTAAAGATTGCGGGTGCAGTTCATCTACCTCCCAGAGAGATCAAGAGGAGGATGTGGGTCTCACCGGTGACAGCGGGGGGCACTGTGCGGCGCAGGGCTGTGACAGTTGCCATGGCGATTTCCTCGTGAGAATATTTCTGGGTGCAGGCGTGGCCTGGGGTTACCATGTTGGGCTTCAGCAAAGTGCCTTCCAGGTAAATGTGGTGGTCACTCAGAGCCTTGTAGACGGCAGCCAGCACCTACAGCAGAGCAGGGCCAAGGTGGATTGGGGTGGAGTTGGGGGCAGGGTGGGGACGGGTCAGCCCCAAGGCCCCCGGCCCAGCTGCCTAGCCACCACACTGTCCAGGCAGGCAGGTACCTTACCTTCTCGGTTACATACTGACAGCGCTTCAAGTCGTGGTCCCCATCAGGGAGGATCTCAGGCTCCACGATGGGAACGATGCCATTCTGTGGGATGAGGGACAGGGTAGCCATGAGGCCTCCTAACCTAGAGCCCACCTACAGCTCTCCACAGCCATCAGCCGAGATCTTCTGTCCACGATGACAGAGACTCATGGCTTCATAGCCCTCAGTGGACTGCAAGAGACAGGCATGTCCTCCAAGCCACCCACATAATGCCTCTTCTGCTCCTCTGTTGAGAGCGCCCTCGAGTATCCTCCACGGGCCCAAGGCGGACGCTTGGTGAGGATCCAGAACAGCTACCGGGGGGCGGCGGGGGGGTATGTATCCTGACAGATGGGTGGCAGGCTAGCTGATACTCTGGAACCAAGGGAGGTGGAAGGTGGCCTGTTGGGCACCCACCGGCCCACCTGCTGGCAGATGCTGGCGTAACGGGCCAGAACGTTGGCATTTTCCATGATGGCAAGGGCTGAGGGAGTATGTTCCCCAATCTTCAGCACACAGCGCCACTTGGCAAAGTCAGCTCCATCCTTCTTGTATTGGGCACAGCGCTCAGACAGCCCATCCAGCCCTGGATGGGGAGTAGAAGAGTCAGAACATGGCAGAGGAGGGGGCGGGTGGCACCCGGAGGGGTAGGTCTGGAGGGCAGGGAGCAGAGCAGTTCTCACCTTGGGTGGTAGTCTCGCCATTTGTTCCTGCCAGGGGTACCACGCCCTTGTCCACCTGTCGGGGGGGGGGGATGGGCAACAACATAAGGCGGGGGAAGGCACCTCTAGTACTCCACTCTGCCCTCAACTTTCCTTAATCCCTCAAGTGGTATCTCGCTTTGCAAACGTTTTCACGTAGTTACAATACTTGATCCTAGGAGGGAAAATACATGGGGATGTGATTGGACAGAGCCTGGGCTCCTAGCACTTACTAACTCGCTGAGCCGCACACATCACTGCCTTGAGTTTCTGGTTTTTTTCTCTGTACGACAAAGGGAATACCGTGTTCTGAGAATTACAAGGATTAAAAATGCCAGGCAAGGGCGCCTGGCTGGCTCAGTCGGTGGAGCCTGTGACTCTTGATCTCAGGGTTGGTTGTGAGTTCAAGCCCCAGATTGGGTGTGGGGATTACTTAAAAATGAAATATTAAAAACAGGCCAAGCGAGTCTCCTACATTTCTAGCTTTTCTCACATATGCTTTGGAGGTGATCTGGGGCAGACCCCACCCAAGTCTCCAGACTCCCAACCCAACATCCATCGCCAGCCTACTACTCTGGCCTTCTCTCCCGGAGTGCTCGCTCACCTCTCACATCCTGAGACCCCGCCCCCTCACCTTGATGCCCACAACACCGCCCTTGGATTTGATAACTTGGGGGAAGGGACGCCCATCATCTGTCTTCTGGTAGAGCGTCTCGTGGAAGAGGATGACGCCCCCGATGCAGGGGTTCACGCGGTCGTCGGCGGTCAGGAGCAGCTGTCGGTAGAAGCGCCGGTTCTCCTCTGTGTTCTCAGTGCCGATGGACTGCAGCCGCTTGGCGATGCTCCCTGGGAGAGGGCAGCATACAGAAATAAGGGGGTCAGCCAGTCACCCTTGACCCTAGGCTCTCCTCCTATGGTGTCTTGCCCGTACCAGTGGACTCATCTGCAGCCAGGATGCCCTTGCCCGGAGCCACGATGCGGTGAGCGATGTCGGAAAGCTCCTTCTTCTGCTCCGGGGTCAGCGCTGGGTATTGGTAGGGCATGGTGCCGGTCAGTTCCTGGGCCAAGGAGGCAGATAGGGGAGGACTGGTTAGCGGGGGCTCACTGTGGTCTTCCAACCAGCAGGGCCCCTTGCCTGGAGGTTGGGATAAAGGTTCCCTACCTCCCCTGCTCCATACCGGCGGGTATCTGGCCACTTCCTGTCCCCAGCCCTCCCCTACACCCAACTTCCCTATACTAGGCCTGCCTCCCGTACCTTTCCTAACACTGTCTGTTGCTGGGTATTTCCCAGCTGTGGGTGGGGTTGCGTACTGGCATCTGGGGCAATGCAATAGGCCAGAGCCATGGACAGACGGGTCATGTAGAAGCCGGACCCTTCTGGCTTGCGCTCTGCCATGGGGTCACCTTGCCTAGAAGCAGAACCGAACCGGAGTAATTTAGGATTTAGAGGGGGTATGTAGGCAGAGGGCCCAACCCAAGGACCCAGAGAAGGGAAAGTTCTGTGTTTCAAGTCCCACAGCACAAGAGCCAGAGCTGAGATTAGAACCCAGATCTTCTGACTGCCAGGGCCTTCCAATCCACCCAAAGTCCCAGGGCTGGCCCAGGCTCCAAAGCCTCAAGGACATCCCAAGGTCAAGCTTCTCCACCAGGGTTGGGGGAGGGCGTTCGGAAAAGGGTGTTGGAAGAAAGGGTAGGAGAATAATCAGAAGCCCAGGAAAGGGCAGCAGAGGAAGCCCAGGCCGGGCTGGCGGAAACGGGTAAGGTTTGCCGATCTCACTGCTCATACAGGGTGAGAGAATTGTAGAGAGGCAAGCGCCCCACCCGTTCCCCTGAAAATGCTCCTGTCTGCTCGCACGGCTGCAGCTGTTCCAAGCTCACCATCAAGGTCACCCAATAAGGAAAGACACGGAAAGTGTTAACTGGGCATCAGGCGCCACCAAGGGGTTTCCCCTCCTCCCGGGGGCGCCCACCTCCCAAAGCAGGGCCCAACCACGCTTTCCGGAACCCTGAGGCAGTTGTATGAGCTGGCCCCCATCCCTTTGCTGCCTCTTAGGATCCCCGCAGAGGCAAGGGGGCCGTAATGCTTTGCACCTGGGGTCCCGGCAAGTAAAGGAGAGAGAGAATGGCCCTTCATCTCGTCCTGCTTCCTCCCTCGCCATGACGCAGCGCGCGGAGCCGCTGCATTGCGCAGCAAACCGAGCTCAAGCTGGAGAGGGTTGCGGAATCCGGGCTGAGAGCACATGTGTGGGTGGTAGTGGGACGCGGGAGATGCTGGGACCGGGGTTGGGGGAGGGGGGTCCGGCTGCCGACGGCCCCCAGGATCCTTTTCCACGGTCCCTGACCTTCGCACATGGCGAGGGGCGCTCACCTGGCACGGGAGGGGGCGGGTTTGCGGGGTGCGGCGGTGGAGGGCGGCGGGCCGGCGAGCAGACTGAGCGAACGCGGCAGTCGTTACCAGGACCCTGGTTCTGCGACGCGTTCCAGGAGGAACGCAGCCTATTAAGCTCCCGAGGGGGCGGCGCAGGGGGCGGGCAGGGGGGAGGTGGCGCCGGGCTTTATAAGGGCACGGCGCCAGCCTCCGCCGGGTTTCTTCCCTTGAAAGGGGCGGGAGGCGCCCTGGCGTCCAATTGCAGGCGAGGATCAGTGGAGAGGCCGCCCCCGAAAGGCGAAGCCGGGAGGCGGCGCTTGGGCGGGGACAGCGCGGCGAGAACACGATCCCTCCCCCGGCCCCCTAGGACGTGACTCGGGCCACATCCTGCGGGTCGCCGGGGCCCTCCCCTCCCTCTCCCTCCCCCCCCCACCAGTTGGCGCGTTGTGGGGCGCTGTGACTCAGCCGATTTGGGGCACCGGAGGAGATGGGGAGGGGGGAAGCGGGTACAAGAGCCTGAAAAGACGGAGGCTCAGCCTCCCCGCCCAGCCCCCGCTGGGCGGCCCGGGGCAGCCCCAGCTTCCGGCCGGCGCTGATGGCCGCGTGTGTCACGCTGTGGCACACCCGTAGGTCGGGCGTCGGCCGGCCTCGCCCGCAGACTCCCCTTGCGGGCTCGGGCACGGGGCCACCCCTCCCTGGGTCATCAGCCCGCGCGGAAGAGCGGCTGCACTGGGAGGAGCCCGAGAGGGCGGCGGGGCAGCGGTTCCGGGAGGCCCGCCCGCGCGGGTGTCAGCGCGCCGGTCGGGTTCACGGGCTCTGGGTCCGGCGGGCCAGCCTCGCCGCGCGTGCGCAGGCGCTCTCCGCCCCGGGCCGGCGCCGACCGTCCTGCAGCCGCCACCGCTCTTCCCAGCGAGTCTGGGGATGCGGCGCCGGAAGCCCCGCGAAAACGTCTCCCTGGGACCTGACTTCCCCCTCCAAATCAAACCTGTTCCTAGCTGGTCAGCCCCCAGCTGAACCCCCTCATCCTAATCTGGACCCCTTAGCGCGCCCCCCTCCCCGCCCCCGCTGCGTCCCGTGGGCGCCTACCTGCGAGGAGGCAGAAGGAGCGGGCAGAGCCTGGTCAGCAGCGAGTGAGCCGGGCCGCTCCCGGGCTGGGTTATAAGCCAGCTCCCGCCCTCCCCCCAGCCCATGTCCGCAACTCCTCCGGTGACCCTTGCCCTTTCCTTGCCACGGATCCGCTGGCAGGGACCTATATTTAGGGAAACCTGAAGCCCCTGACATTCATGCCAGCGTGGGGCCTACAGTGAGGGAAGGGGGAGGAAAGCCTGGGCCTGCCCTAGTTGGGGGGCAGGGGCGGGCCCTGCCCACTCACCGGTACTTTGGAGGACATTTCCTTGGAAATCCAGTCTGAAGCCCTCAGAGGTTGTCAAGAGAAATCAATCTTCGCACAGGAATCTGTGGGGAGGGAGAAGAGGAAAGGAGACTCGGATCTGTGGCCCTCCCTGCCTCCTCTATCCTCCCTCCCCTCTGGGCCCTGATGATGGCTCTTGTGATTCTGGGGAGACCATGCCTTTGGCGGGAGAGCAGATGCAGGCGCGATGCTCACCTCAAGATAACCGAGAGTCCATGGACACTGTGTGGCTGTGGTACCCCTATATCCTGATACTCCAGGCCCAAGTTCGTCCCATGAGGTGGTCTGTGGTGAGCAGTGTCTCCCACCCTCACCTTCAATTATAATAGTTTATGCGGCAAGGGGGAGAGGTGGGCAGGTTGACCTGCCAGAGCACTAGCCCCTCTCCCTCCTGGCCCTCCAAAGGGGCTGCAGTCCAAATGGCCAGGGGCTCTCTGAGTCCTGCTCTGCAGGGAGCCAGGCTCTCCGCCGCTGGTTCCCAGGCCGATGAGCTGGGCAGGCCATTTGTGGTTCCAGGGGCCTAGAGGCCCCGTCAGGGAGCGGGGCATGTGGGCCCTGGGGGCTGGCCACGCCCCAAGGGGCAGGGACTCCGGGCCCTCATCGGAGCTTGATCTGGAAGCAGAGACAGTTGAGGCTCTGGCAGTCAGGAGGCTGGCAAGCACAGGCACAGTCACAGAGCGGACAGCAGCGGGGACAGCTAGGGGCCCAACCCTGAGGGAGAGGAGAGAGGGGTGAGGGAGAGGGGCAGGAGGAAGGGCGACCAGTCCCCTAAGCTGTTTCCCTCTCCGGGGAGAAGGGAACAGAGAGGCCTGGGAAGCCCCATTTGCCCAGTGGAACAGAGGGTACCATCTACCATTTCTTGGGAACAAATCAATTCCCTGTGCTGTTGAGAAATCAGCAAGGAGGCGGCGTTCCAAACAACTGAGCTCAGGAGCTGGAAGAAATTATTCAGGGGGTTCTTTCCTTCTTCCCATTTTATAGGCAAGGAGACTGAGAGATCAAGTAGGCCTGTTCCATGAAGTCCTGATGTTCAGCTTAAAGTTGGTTCTACTATATCCTTGTGGCCTCCTTCAGTTCCAAGTACGGAGACGAGGGAGAGCACACACACGTTTTCCTTCTATGATAAAAAGAACTTGGTTCTGTTTTCTTCCTTGGCATGAGACCAAACTGCAGGACCTCTTTCATTATTTCTGAGCACCTACTCCCTGCAAGGCTGTATTCATGCATGATTCTGAAAAATCTCCCAGTTGTCTTTGAAAATGGTAATTGGCAGATTTTTTTTTTTAAAATGTTTTCAAGAGTCCTCTCTCTTTTATTTATCAGAACCTTGGGCAGGGGGCCTCTCCACAAAAGAGGAAATGGAGGCTCAGAGAGGGAGAGCCCCCTTGACTCCACTGCCCCCCAGAGCCAGAACTATCAGCTTCTTTCTGGGTCCGTGGGGACAGGGATAGTTCATCTCATGTCACCAGTGAGCTAGCATGAGGACTCATCCTCGGTAGGTACGTGAGATACAAATGAATGTCGAATGGGAGGATGAATCAAACCATTTTCCCCTCTTTGGGCAAAGAAGAAAGAAGAGGACTCCTTAGCTCCCGGGGGGGAAAGAAGGGTCTGTCTCTTGGGGAATAGGACAGCATGTCCCTTGTGACAAGAAGGGAGAACTGGTCTATTTCAGCCTAGTCCTCTCCTGCCTGGTGACAGGGGTGATCTGCCACTGCTTCACGCATGGGCTGGAGTCAGGCCAAGTGGCTGGAGTGGGACACACCCCGGACGTGCCAGGAGATTGGCTCCTTGAGGCCTGAGGCCGAGCTAGCTGACAGTCCCAGTTGCACACCTCAATCAGATGCCAGGCCAAGCCAGGAATAGGGGAATGACCTTTGAAACAGCTGAGGTTTGGGGGTGCGCTGTCAGATGACTGGTGAGATCAGATATCACTAGGGGCTCCAGGGAGGGGAGGGGATCTGCTGGCTGCAGGGACAGGGGTCTGACCTGGGCTGGCGCTGCTGTCAGCAGGACTGTCTCTCGAGGAGGAGGCTACAGGCGTCATGGCGGAAGGGGGAGTGAAGCGGTTTCCTTGTATCTGACGAAGGAGTGGTTTGGGGCGTCTCTGGGGAGTCCCAGTTTGGGATGAAGTGGGCTCTGTGAGGTTTTGGAGGACCACACTGTCATTCTGTGCGCAGCACTGGTGGCTGAGAGAGGCTCTGCCACCCTCACCTCGAAGGAGAGGGTATTAAAAGCATTTCTGGGCTCTGTCCACTGTAAGGGTTTAGAGCTAGTCATTAATAACTGTCTAATGGATTTCTGGACTCTCACAAGCAGCCATGTGGCTTCTGGAGGGAATCTGCTACTTCAGTACATAAACAAGAATGCCACAAGCCTGTTAACCCTTGTGTCTCTCTAGGCTCTGCAGCTTCGGCTTCGATTCCTTTCCCTGTGATTTTGTGATGGCCCGCCGTCTCTGATGTCCAGAGCTCAGGCCCAGATTTGAATCAAATTCAGGCCCAGGTTTGGCTCACTCATGTTTTGAACCTCAGTTCGGTCATCTCTGAAACCAACAGAATGCCTGCTTCAGAGGCTCACGGTGGGGCATCAGGGGAAGGAGCTGAGCCCGATGCCTAGTACATAGTGAGCACTCCAGAAAAGGCAGCGATTCTTGCTACAGCTCTCCGCGGCCCCCGCCCCGGCCAGACCTACTGGGTGTGGGGCCCAGATGCCTGGCTTTGTGTCTGTCCCATCTGCGCTTCTGATCACACACAGGGCTGAGAACCAACCATCGCGCTATGTATCACTTTGTTTCTCATGCTCTAATGTAACTGCCTACTTCCTCCTCTCTGTCCTTTGCTGCAGTGGAAGCCCCGTGTGGGTTGGGACCCAGTCCAGCTTCTTTCGCAGAGCCCCCAGGGCCTGGCACAGTGCCTCAACTGCATAGATCTTTAGTAGGTGAAGGAATGGGTGAACAAGTGAATGAGATCCTTGCCACATGCTTGGTGAAAGCCCAGAGCAGGCAGGTGTCTCCCCCAGAGAGGAAGAGAAATCTGGGTTTGTGTCCCAGCCTGGGCCTCAGGTAAGTCACTCCAGCCTCTGGAAGGCTGTTTCTAACAGCTGTAAAGTAGGCAAGAACTTTGTCATATTTGTGGTTGTTACTGTTACTACAAGGAAACTGAAGAACAGGCACTTTACTGTACCTTGTGCAAAGACAGCTCAAGGACAGAATGATCCTGCCCTGCCCTGTGGCCATTCTAGAATCCTTCCTGGCTCTGGCAGAAGCCAGGTGGATCAGACCCTGAGGTCTCCAGGTCTGGAATTCCCTGCACCTCACCCTGACCGAGGAGGAGAGGCCCAGACTGACAGAAGGGGCAAGGAGCAGCGTACCCCTGACAGGGGACCAGAAATCGCTTCGTAATTGAGCATTTCCTATGAAATAGGGAGTTTTTAGGACCCAGGGCCATCTTCTTTTTCCCCTTTGCCCCCTTAGCCTCTGTCCTGGGCTCCCTTTCCCAGCTACCCCTAGGAAACCAGAAGCAGATTTTTTTGTAAGAGGAGAGCCCCTTGCCCCATAATTTCCTTCAAAACTCAAAACATCTCCCAGGAATTTGACCAACTATGGTCAGCCCAAGTTATGAATTTGCTTGTCTTTCATCCTCCTGCTTTCCTCCTGGGGGGAAGGTCACCACTTCAAGGGCAAGAGCTTCGCTGTCTAAATCCGAGCCCCAAATAGGAAGGTGGTCAATTACATTCACCGTCTTTCAACCCGCAAAAGCGAAAATGGCCTGCCTTCCGGGAGCCAGGCTTCTCCCTGAGGATTCTATTTCGACACACAGTGGAGCAATTTACTGTGCACCACTCTACTATGTAACATTGTAGAAGCGACTGAATCTCCCTCAGCCAACTCCTCCCCCTGCAAAAGGACAGAAATACTTCCCCCTCTACATGCACAGACACAGAGAGGAGGTCAAGGTGGGATGCCAAGTCAAAAAGGGCAGGTAGCAGAAGTGATGAAAGAGTATTTGTGGCATGACCCCATCTTTGCCAAATACTGGTAGATAACACAGCAGTGACAACAGTCTACCAGTATATGAGGGCGCAAACAAAACATAGCAGCCTTGGTTATAGAGCTGGTTTACACGCTGACTGGTGCCTTCTATGTATTTCTACATGCACGCTTTGTAGTCAATGCTTTTCATACTCAGAACTATATATATCTAGGTTTTTAAAAATACCCAGCTCTCGGGGTTGTTGAGTAAATGATAATGTCAATAAAGTGGCACAGAATCTGGGGCGTCGTACTCACTCAGTGAACAGAAGGAGCTCTGTGCCGGGTTGTTTTTTCTTTTAACCACCATTTGCAGAAGCCAGTGTGCCCTCCAGGTTACACACCTGTCCCCAGCTGCCACCCTGTTTTCTTTCCTCCAAGTAGCTTTCAGCACCAGAAAGTATGCGATGTGCTGTTTATGATGTCTTTGGCTGTCTCCAACTGACCCAGTCTCCCCAGAGTCAGTGCTCAGCAATCCATGTTGTTGAACACCACCAACAAAAGAAATGCCCAGAGAGGGCCCAGGTCAGGGCTCAGGGCGTCAGGGCTGGGACGGGAACTCACCGCTTCTGTGGGCTGGGGGCAGCAGGTGTCCAGGCAGTGGGCTGGGCTAGGCAGAGGGAAGTCGCAGGCTTCTGCACAAGTCCAGCAACAGTCCTGGGGCCTGGAGGCACCTTGCTTCCTGCAGGGGGAGCTGCAGTCGGTGCAGCCACCCTGGGCCTAGGAGATGCAAAGGGGCAGGATCCGGGCCAGATGGTGGGGGGAGAAGAGGGGGGACACGGCACGGAGGGATGGATGCGGTGGCTAAATGGCAAAGGAGCCTAAGGGTAAGGGCCTGCGGATGAGGGCACTGACTGACCGCTTCCTCTTCCCCGGAGCCCACCCTTCAGCCTCCGCCAGGCTCCTCACCAGTAGGCAGTGCCTAGTGAGCAGCACTACGCCGAGCAGCAACAAATAGATGCCCACAGCGATGAACACGATGGCAGGGATGGGGAGCAGCAGGGAAGGACTGCTGACGGGAGCCGGGGTGGGATTCCACAGGCTAGAGGAGGCCTGCACAAGCACAGGAGGAAGGGGTGACAAGAAGGTGGGAGGGGCTGCGGGGAGCACAAAAATACCAGGAGGGACACCTGGACGTGGCTGGGATGAGAGGAGGAACAGCCACCAGATGGCGGGGAGAGAGTCATTAGGACTACACTATCCTGTTCCCCAAACGTGACTTCTCCCAATCACCCCCTTTTCAGGACCATCAGTACCTGCTGGTCGTTTGAGAATTTTCCAAGACTGGTTGATCTTCCTCTCAGAATGCCTCTCCACACAGACCTATTGTCTCTGATTCCTCAGCCCCACTTTACCATCCCTCAGGCCCTAAATGTCTTCCAACCTGCAGTTTTGCCCCTTTCCACACCAGTTGTGTTGTGTAACCCTCCCTCCCTTACAATCCATCAGTGTCTCCCACGGACTCAGTCCAAACTTATCTCAGTGACAAAGCCCCAATCTAGCCCTGCCTACCTCTCCCTCCCTCCTCCTCTATACTCCAGCCAGACTGAAGCCTCCCAGCCCCGAGTCTCTGCCCAAGCTGTTCCCTCAGCCTGGGATGCCTTTAAAGCCTCCTTGATTACTTGGCAAGCTTCTCATCTTGCCAGCAAGAGCGGGAATGTGCTCTCCGTGTGAAGTCTATTCTGGGCACTCTCTCACAGCTCTGGTCCTGAGCTCGAAGGGTCTCTGTTGGGTAAACAGCCCCCTCTCCAGTCTGGGCTCGGGCTCCAAGGCGAGTTTAAGGCCCTGAGGGGGCCGCTCCCGAAAAGGGAAAGGGGCCTAGGACTCACGTCCATGGGTCAGGGCAGCGCCAGTCAGTCCAGGAGCTGCAGAGGAGAGAAAGTCCTGGGTCTCAGAGGCTGAGAGGGGCCATTGGACTGGGATGCCCACTGCCCCCCCGCTCCCGCCAACTCCCGCTTGGAGAAACTGAGGCCGAACGATGGCTCCTGGTCCGGACAGTGGGGATCGGGGGTCCGGGGATTCGGGGCGGCGTCCCCCTCGCAGGCCCCAGCCTGACCGGGCCACACCCCTGGCTGTCCCCGCACCCCGGCTCCCTCCAGTGACCGGTTCCCGGCGCCTGCACCCTCGGGGCCGCGGGCAGTTCGCGGATTCCGCGCCGCGCTCGTCCAATCGGCCGCCGCCCAGAAGCTCCCGCTGCGTCTGGCCGTTGCCATGGGGATCCGAGCGCCGCTCCTACGGCGGCCGCCGAGACCCAAATTCCTTCTCCCCGCCGCTCGCCGCTCTTCCCCGGCCGGATCCTCTGCGGCCGCCAGCCCCTCCTAGTCGCGGTCCTCTGGGTTTTCCCGCCGTTACTGAACGGAAAGGGCGAGTTCCCCGCTGCCACCTGCCCGGGTCGGGTCCTCATCCCGTGCTGGGTCCTGCGGCGCCGCAAAGGGGACACCGACCCGCCGGGCTGCACCACCAACGTGCTGGGTGACTTTGACCAAGTCACTGAGCCGCGCGGAATCCATTTCCTCCTCTGTAAAACCGGGAAACTCCTGCCTTACGGGGATGCTGTAAAAATCAAAGCTAACTTGTCAATTGTATAGCATTCTACTTTTTTTTTCCCCCTCAACTTTACCCCACTCATTTTTTATTGACTGTGCTCCAGTTTAAAGACTTGGGCGGGTCTCCTCAACCTTTGGTCACTGTCTAAGTGATTTCCTGCCACCCACCACAGATCTTGTCCCTTTTCTATTTTAAACCTCCGAAGGACAAAGTTCCTCCGAAGGACAAAGTTCCTCCGAAGGACAAAGTTCAAATGCTTAGCCGACTGACCACCTCATCCAGTCTGGGCCCCTCCTATCTTCCCTTTGTTCATTAACAGCATATCTCATCTAGGCTCGGCCTCCAGCGGAGAATAAAGCAGATTTCCTGTCCTCATGGGGCACACATTCCAGTGGGGGTGGAGGAGCAGATAATGTGTAAACCAATAAGTAAGACTGTTCCGTGTTCCATCATTCTTCCAGTCTTCCATCTGTTCAAGGTTCCTGAGCAAAGTGTTTCACAGCTCCACACATTTGCAAGATACTGTTCCCTCTGCCTAGAACACCCTTCCCCTATTTCCCCCTGAAGAACTCCCTCATCCTCCAAGCCTCTGCTCAGTTTTGCCTCAGGGAGGTCTCCCTGCCAACCTCAGGGGGTGGTAGCTGCTGTGGGCACCTTATATGCACGCCTAGTCCAGCACTGATGACAACGTATTTGAATTCTCCCCTTCAGTGCCTGGCTCCCTGGTTAGACAACAAGTGCCTGGGTCTGATTCATCCCCATATCGCAAGCCCTGGCAGTTGGTGTGGTCTTGGGGGCCTCCAGCGAGTACTCACTGATTCTATGAACGAATCAAATCCAATGCCATCCACTAACGAAGGGTAGTTATCGAGATGCCCTGGTCCCCTGGCTCACAAGCCACTGAGACCTCCCACCTGCATTCCTGCCCTTTGGGGATCTACACTTACATGACTGCACTCTGGACACTCATGTAAGCACACCAACGCCTCAGACTTCATCCAATAACTGCATCTGGGCATGTTCCCCTGAAAGTAGTGATGTAGGAAATAACATTAGGGTTCGAAGCTGATGGCCAAGAAAGAATTCTTGAGACATCTTTGGTGCAAAAATGTGATTTTTATTAAAGCACAGGGACAGGACCCGGGAGCAGAAAGAGCGGCAATGGGGTCATGAGGAGTGGCCCATTATATACTTTCAAGTTGGGAGAGTGTTAGGGATAGCGTAAGTCTCTAAGGAATTTTGGAAGCAAGGTTTCCAGGACCTTGAAGGGGCTAGCTATTGTTGGGGAAAGGTCATTTATCACCGTCTAATAAAACCTTACTCATGAGACACTTCAGATGTATATCAGTGGGCCATATGCTTAGGGGATGATTGCCAACATGTATCTTGGGGGGCTTAGAGATAAAGGAAGTTTCCAAAAGAATTTTTGTATGTTAAAGTAGGCTTACAGGATCCTGGGAGGTGGGGGGGTGGCTAGGATTGTCTTTTGCCCTTAGCAAAGTATCAACATCGAGGCAGTTGAGTCCCCAGAGGAATGTCACTCTGCCTGTTTCAAGGACTTGCCGATTAGCTGTAGGAAATTTAATAGTTTGTTTCTGCCTTTGTTTCCCACATCAGCAGTACCACCATATACCTACTTCTGTCCATGTCCTCCCCCCCACCATGTACCTTGTCCCTACTGCTGCCCCTGGGGATTTCTGGCACCCCGAGGCAACCCCAGAAATTGCCGGGGTTTGTGTCCCCTGTTACCAAATCTCCCTTCTTACCTTCAACCACACTGACAGAGTCCCACCCCTCCTCTGCCACCCCCAGCCCTCTCAGAGGGAGCTTCAGACCCAGGAGACAGGAAGCTAGCCATCCCCAGTGTCATCATTGCTGACTCTAAGGTAGAGTCAGGTTGCCTTCTTGGGGCTGTTGTCTTGTCTGCCCCATCTTTGCAGAATCCCAAGGCCCAAGGTGAGGCCAGTTCCCACCCCAGCCCCAGGAAAGGCCCCAGGTGACAAAGACTCCCTTCCTCTGTTCTGTTCCTGCCAAAAGAGAGACGTCAGCCTTGGCAAGACCTCTGGACACGTCCATGGCCTGCAATGGTCAGACTCACTGCTGATGGTATTCTGTTCCTACCGAGGGTTCATACATTATGCAGGATGGTGGACAGTGCACCGGGCCTGCTCTCTGCAAGACAAACCAATAGGATGGTGATGTATGCACCCACTTTGCCAAGGCCACTTCTGCTCACATCACACCATTTGTTGGAGGCAGGGAGAAACTGACTTCACAATAGTCAAATAACCATAAGGTCTCCCTCTCCCTCAAGTTCAAAGCTGGAGATGTCAGATATGATTGTGTGGAGTTTTGCACTGACCGCAAGAAGGAAAGAAAAAGATGATGCACTCTCAGTCCTCGTGGGGTAGGGTGGGAGATCTGAGACCCACCGAACACCCAGGAGATGAGAGAAACCCAGCCAGGCCTGCCGTCAGGCGAGGGAACGGAACCCGGCTGCTCCGATTTTGATCTTAGAATTTCGGCCCCTCCTATGGACATCAGATGATACTGCCTCCCAGAGATTAAGAGGAGGTTATTGGCGTCCTTTTAGGAAAATGAAAGGCCTGTGCTCAGGTAGTCATGCCCAGGGAATAAGAAGTGGAGATGACCAGAGCTAGAGCAAGCATCAATCAAACCCTCTTCCCAGACTTTATTTAATCCTAACAGTAGACCTGAGTGGCATGAACAATTACTTCCATCTTATTTTAATTTAATTTTTGTTTTTTCTATTTTATTTATTTATTTGAGAGAGAGCGAGGGGGGAGGGGCAGAGGGAGTGGGAGAAGCAGACTCCTTGCTGAGCAGGGAGTCTAACACAGGGCTGGATCCCAGAACCCTGGGATCATGAACAGAGCCAAAGGCAGACGTTTAACTGACGGAGCCCCCATTATTTCCACTTTATAGATAGAAAAGAATCCTGACCTGGTTGAAAAGAATTTTAGGTCAGGCAATGGATTCTAGTTGTGCCACTGTGTATCTGTGTGACCCTGGGCAAGTCAGCTGATCTCATGGAGCCTGAGCTGCTCATCCGGAAAGCAGGGATCTCCTAAGATGCAAGAGGGCTCGTGATGATCGGAGGAAAGGTTATGTACAGTCCCCAGCATAGAACAAAGGGCTCATGAAAAAATAGAACCCGAACAACTCGGAATGCATATCAGAGTGAGAATTTACAAGAGGACACATAGGAACACATCTCATTCACTCATCCTAGCAGCCTGAGGGAGAGGTACTGCTCCAGTCCCTATCCTCATTTTAAGAAGCGATAAATCACTTGCCCAAGTTCTCCTGGCTAGTGAGTGACAGAGCTAGGATTTGAGCTCAGGCAATGGAACTTTGTGGGTATACAACTGAGGCTCAGAGAGGTTCTGACACTTGACCAAGGTCACACAGCCAATCTATGGCAGAAAAAAAGGGCCTGGACAGACTCTTCCCTTTCTCGCTCCACTCATCTATCCTCCCCCTCAGCTTTTTCTACTGCACAGATAAAGGGTGGGACTGGACTTGCTTAAACACTGCCTAGCCTGGGACAGGTACAATAAAAGCACTAAATAATAGATGCTCTGGCCTGCTGGGCGGGACTCTCCCCAGAGCACGGGTAGGGGGAATTGGACCCTTCCCTGGGTATCATGTGGGAAACATGCCACTTCTGGCTGCTTATTGTTTACTTATTCACAGCCTTCGGTGCTAAGACACCTGCACGCCTCCCAGGGCCGAGGCTGCGCAGCACCCAGGCAGAGAGGATGCGCAGGACAGCATTTGGACTCAGGAGCCTGGAGTAGCAGGAAACCGTAAACTCCAGGCCCCGGGTGAATTGTGTGACAGGTGTGTGAGGACCGCGTGGGGGTGAGAGACTCCCCTGGGGAGCCAGGCTGGGGCGGGGAAGCAGCCGGAGTCCCTGGAGCCTGGACGGTCACCTGGGGAGCGCCACTCACGCCTAACCCCTCTCCAGAGGCGCGTCCCAGGGGCTGCACCCCCTGCCCCCCCAGAACTGGCGCAGTCTCCCCTCCTCCGAGGAGGAGTTCAGGGCACCCCTAGAACGCCCTGATGAGGGATCACGGTGTGCGGAACGTGACTGGTCTTGGGTTTATTTGACACGCTACACCCATCTGCAAGAAAGTGGGTGCCCGCGCACGAAAGCTATTCTCTTTCCAATTCCTCTTCAACACTTCTGATTATTACAGGAGCATGTCTCATTTTGCTGCCAGAAGCCCTTTAACACCTCTCCCCCCGTGCTTATCTTGCCATGTCTTGTCTTTAACAAAGGGAGTGCAGGCCTCCAGCTCAGAATGCGGAGCAGGTGAAAGTATCTAGCTTGAAGGTTAGAACACTTTTTTTCATTGTATTTATTTTTTGGTTACCTTCTATTTACAGCAATTGATACTGGCTTTCTATTTTCAGTAGTGATAAAGAGTTTCTTTTAAAGTGCATGGTTAAGGGACGCCTGGGTGGCTCAGTTGTTAAGCGTCTGCCTTCGGCTCAGGTCATGATCCCAGGGTCCTGGGATCGAGTCCCGCATCGAGCCCCACATCAGGCTCCCTGCTCAGTGGGAAGCCTGCTTCTCCCTTTCCCACTC